GGACTATACAAAGTATCAACAAAACCAGGAGCTGGCTTTTTGAGAAAATCAACAAGATAATTATACCCTGCCAGACTAACCAGAGGGCACAGAGACAGTATCCAAATTAATAAAATCAGAACTGAAAAGAAAGATATAACAACAGAAACTGAGGAAATTTAAAAAATCATCAGATCCTACTACAAAAGCCTATATTCAACAAAACTGGAAAATCTGGATGAAATGGACAATTTTCTAGATAGATACCAGGTGCCTAAGTTAAATCAGGAGCAGATAAACCATCTAAACAGTCCCATAACCCCTAAAGAAATAGCAGCAGTCATTAACAGTCTCCCCACCAAAAAAAGCCCAGGACCAGGTGGTTTTAGTGCAGAGTTCTATCAGACCTTCCAAGAAGACCTAATATCAATTCTCTTCAAACTATTCCACAAAATAGAAACAGAAGAAACACTACCCAATTCATTCTATGAAGCCACAATTACACTTATACCTAAACCACACAAAAACCCAACAAAGAAACTTCAGACCAATCTCCCTTATGAATATCGATGCAAAAGTACTCAATAAAATTCTTGCAAACCAAATCGGAAAACACGTGAAAACAATCATCCATCATGATCAAGTAGGCTTTATCCCAGGAATGCAGGGATGGTTCAATATTCAGAAATCTATGAACGCAATCCAGTATATAAACAAACTCAAAGAAAAAAAAAACATATGACCATCTCACTAGATGCTGAGAAAGCATTTGACAAAATTCAACATCCCTTCATGGTAAAATTCTTGGAAAGATTAGGAATTCAAGGCCCATACCTAAACATAGTAAAAGCAATATACAGCAAGCCAGTAGCCAACATCAAGCTAAATGGAGAGAAACTTGAAGCAATCCCACTAAAATCAGGGACTAGACAAGGCTGCCCACTCTCTCCCTACCTATTCAATATAGTACTAGAAGTCCTAGCTAGAGCAATTAGACAACAAAAGGAAGTCAAAGGGATACAAATAGGAAAGGAAGAAGTCAAAATATCACTATTTGCAGATGATGATAGTATACTTAAGTGACCCCAAAACTTCCACCAGAGAACTCCTAAACCTGATCAACAACTTCAGCAAAGTGGCTGGTTATAAAATCAACTCAAGGAGCTGGAGAGATGGCTCAGCGGTTAAGAGCACTGACTGCTCTTCCAGAGGTCCTGAGTTCAAATCCCAGCAACCACATGGTGGCCCACAACCATCCATAATGAGATTGGATGCCCTCTTCTGGTGTGTCCGAAGACAGCGACAGTGTACTCATAAATAAAATAAATAAATAAATCTTTAAAAAAAATAAAAAATAAAAAATCAACTCAAACAAATCAGTAGCTTTCCTCTATTCTAATAAACAGGCTGGGAAAGAAACTAGGGAAATGACACCCTTCACGATAGTCACAAAAAATATAAAATACCTTGGTGTGAATCTAACCAAGCAAGTGAAAGACCTGTATGACAACAACTCTGAAGAAAGAAATTGAAGCAGAGCTCAGAAGATGGAAAGATCTCCCATGCTCATGGATTGGAAGGATTAACATACTAAAAATGATCATCTTGCCAAAAGTAATCTACAGATTCAATGCAATCCCCTTCAAAATTCCAAATCAATTCTTCATAGAGTTAGAAAAGGAAATTCTCAAATTCATATAGAATAACAAAAAACCCAGGATAGTGAGACCTACTTTCAACAATAAAAGAACTTCTGGGGGAATCACCATCCTTGTCCTCACAAGCTGTACTACAGAGCAATAGTGATAAAAACTGCATGGTATTGGTACAGAGACAGGCAGGAAGATCAATGGAATAGAATTGAAGACCCAGAAATGAACCCACACTCCTATGGTCACTTGATCTTTGACAAAGGAGCTAAAACCGTCCAGTGGAAGAAGGACAGCATTTTCAACAAACGGTGCTGGTTCAACTGGAGGTCAGCATACAGAAGAATGAAAATCAATCCATTTTTATCTCCTTGTACAAAGTTCAAGTCCAAGTGGATAAAGGACCTTCACATAAAACCAGATACACTGAAACTAATAGAAGAGAAAGTGGGGACGACCCTTGAATACCTGGGTACAGGGGAAAAGTTCCTGAACAGAACACCAATGGCTTATGCTCTAAGATCAAGAATTGACAAATGGAACCTCATAAAAGTACAAAACTTCTGTAAGGCATAGGACACTGTCAATAGTACAAAATGGCAACCAACGGATTGGGAAAAGATCTTCACCAATCCTACATCCTATAGATGGCTAATATCCAATATATACAAAGAACTCAAGAAATTAGACTCCAGACAACCAAATAACCCTATTAAAAATGGGATACAAAGCTAAACAAAGAATTCTTAACTGAGGAAACTCAAATGGCTGAGAAGCACCTAAAGTAATGTTCAACATCTTTAGTCATCCGGTAAATGCAAATCAAAACAACCCTGAGATTCCATCTCACACCAGTCAGAATGGCTAAGATCAAAAACTCAGGTGATAGTAGATGCTAGTGAGGATGTGGAGAAACAGGAAGACTCCTCCATTGTTGGTGGGATTGCAAGCTGGTACAACCACTCTGGAAATCAGTCTGGCGGTTCCTCAGAAAACTGGACATAGTATTACCTGAGGACCCAGCTATACCACTCCTGGGCATATACCCAGAAGATGCTCCAACATATAACAAGGACATATGCTCCACTATGTTCATAGAAGCCTTATTTATAATAACCAGAAGCTGGAAAGAACTCAGATGTCCTTCAACAGAGGAGTGGATACAGAAAATGTGGTACATTTACCCAATGGAGTATTACTCAGCTATTAAAAACAATGAACTCGAGAAATTCTTAGGCAAATGGATGGAACTAGAAAATATCATCCTGAGTGAGGTAATCCAATCACAAAAGAACACACATGGTATTCACTCACTGATAATTGGATATTACCCCAAAAGATTGCAATACCCAAAATGCAACTCACAGACCACATGAAGCTCATGAAGAAGGAAGACCAAAGTGTGGGTGCTTTGGTCCTTCTTAGAAGGAGTAACTAAATACTCATGGGAACAAATATGGAGACAAATCGTAGGACACAAACTCAAGGAGGGGTCATCTGGATACTGTTCCACTTGGGTATCCATCCCATGTGCTGTCACCAAAGGCAGACGATGATATGGATGCCAGGAAGTACATGCTGACAGGAGCCTGATATAGCTGTCTCCTTATAGAGGTCTGTCAGAGCCTGAAATATACAGAGGAGGATGCTCACAGCTAACCATTGAACTGATCATGGGGTTCCCAATGGAGGAATAACAGAGAAGACTGAAGGAGCTGAAAGGGTTTGCAGCCCCATGGAGTGAGCAACAATACCAACCAACCAGAGCTACCAGGGTCTAAACCACCAGCCTGGGAGCACATAGGGAGGGACCCATGGCTCCAGCTGTATATGTAAGGGAGGATAGCCCTGTTGGGCATAGGTGGGAGAGGAGGTCTTTGGTCCCATGGACGCCTAGTGTGGGGGAATTTGTGGGTGGCAAAGTGGGAGTGAGCGGGTGGGTGGGGACACATCCTCATAGAAGCAGGAGGAGGGGGGAATGGGATAGAAGGTTCCTGGGTGGGGGTCAAATGGGGAAAAGGGATCACATCTAAAATGTAAATAAAATATCCAATTTAAAAAAATGGGGTGCAGAGCTAAACAAAAAAAAAAGTGGTACACTATTCATACTATTCAGTTAGGGAAAGTTTTTCCGTTAAGTAACACTTCAAAGAGAGAGAAATGAAAGTAAGCTTCACAGAACCGTGGAAGAGACTTCTGGTTATAAGACATAAAATATATAAGATAGAAGCCAAGTGTGGGGTACATGTCTAAAAATCCTCACACTTGAGAAGCTGTGACAGATTACAAATTCAAGAACAGCTCAGCCTGGAATGAGTTCCAGCTCAGCCCCACTAGATAGCAAGTCCTTGTTTCAAAAAAGTTCTCTCTCTCTCTCTCTCTCCCTCTCTCTCTCTCTCCTTCCCTCCTTCCCTCCTTCCCTCCTTCCCTCCCTCCCTCCCTCCCTCCCTCCCTCCCTCCCTCCCTCCCTCTCTCTCTCTCTCTCTCTTTCTCTCTAAAAATTGTTTTGTGTTTTTGAGACAAGGTTAAAAAAATTGTTTTAAAGAAGTAGACCAGTGAGCTAAGCAGACACAAATGAAGCTGGCCAATGAGGCAGAGGGAAAACAAGGACATAGTCTTAGCAGAAAACCATTTCAATGGTGAGGAGACATTCTAATGACAGCTACATTTCTAAGAAGCGAGCCTAGGCTCTATAGATATGAGAGTCATAAAACCCTCATACAAGCAACTTCAGTAGAGTGAACGAATAGAAGCCTTATGAGAAAAATGTCCATGGCCTTCAGACACCACAAAACAAAACCTTACACACACTTTTCTAAATTAAAAAATATGCTGGGGCAAAGATGTGTTTATGTGAGTATGTTCAAAACATACTGTATAAAATGTGTGTGTGTGTGTGTGTCTCAGGCTGGCCTTGAACACACTACATAGCTGAGGATGACCTTGAATTCCTCCTGATCCTCTGTCCTTTTTCTTACAGGTACTGGGATTACAAATATACACCCAGCACTCTTTAATGCTTTAATTGAAAAACTTTATTACCACCACCCTCTGACTTCTTTGTTTCTTTTCTTACTCTTTCTTTCTCTTTCTTTTCTTTCTTTCTTTCTTGGGGATAGGAAGGTGGGTGGGGGCAGGGTCTCACTGTATAGCCCTGGCTGGTCTAGAAGTCAGTGAGGCCAGGCTGGTCTTGAGTATTCCTGCCTTGGCTTCCCAGGTTTGAAGATTAAAACTGTATGTCATTATACCTTACCTATTTTCGCATTCTTAAAAGTCATTTTAATCCATTCTAGGAAAATTAGGACATTTCATCAGAAATTTATTACAGACATTATTAAAGCCATTTATAGTTAAGAGTTAACCATTACTTACACAGCCATCATGCACATTTAAAGTTGCTTCAAGTTTTAATCTTTGGATAAATTCTCTTCTTCCTGTTTAAAAAGAAAGAATTCAATAAATCATACAATCTTCATTGAAATTAAGAACCTACGACCTGACTCAATGATTCAATCTCTAATTTCAGCTCTACCAGTTATAAAGTAAATATTAGACAAATTAACCCTCTAAAGTCTACTTCCTTATTAACATAACTAACTTACAAAAGACAACATGGCATCTGAACCCCAGTAAATTCTTGTTTCTCTATCTTTTCACTTTACAAATAATGTTCCAGATAATGTTCTAGAAACTAGGAATACAGTGCTCCCTTGGGGAATAAAAAAGACAATAAAAGGTGTATCTGTCATGAAGGCATTTAGTAGGAAAACAAAAAATAAAGGGGATAAAAGAGGGGACTGGTGGTTGTGTGTATAAAGTTTTCAATTTTAAACAGTGTAGAAAATGGTAATAATAAGATGCACCAATTTTTAAAAAGGATTTATACATTTTTATTTATGTGTATAAATGTTTTATCTGCAAGTATGTATGAACACTGTGTACAAACTCAGGTCCTTTGCGAGAACAAGTGCTCTAACTGCTGAGCTATCTCTTCAGCCATCAATATTTTAAACAAACATATAGGAGAAAATATATAAGAAAAATCAGCATGGATTTCCATTAAGAGCAAAATAGTTTAAATGATACAAAAATAAGTTAAGTTCCTTTTTTGAAAAATGAGAAATATCTCCCTCTGAGAAATGAATCATCTTTACCAAAGATAGACCAGAAAGCATGCTTATTCAGCAGCTGCAATGAAAAGTGAATTTATAACAATGAGCCATAATTAACTGAATATCAGGCTGATGAGTTACCAAAATTATACTAAATTCTACATTCTGTCATGAATGATAGGCTTCTGTGTCACACTTTCTTGCCATTCAAAAAAAAAAAAATCCTCAAGTTAATCTGTTTGACTTCTTCACTTTAAGTTTCTTTTTTGTTTGTTTGTTTGTTTGTTTGTTTTGTTGTTTTGTTTTTGTTTTCAGACAGGGTTTTTCTGTCTGTCCTGGAACTCATTCTGTAGACCAAGCTAGCCTCAAACTCAGAAATTCATCTGCCTCTGCCTCCTGAGAGTTGGGATTAAAGGTATATGCCACCACCATCCCTTCCTTTATATTTTTAAGTGTTATGATGGCTATGTACAGGATAAACATACAGATTTTAAAAATTTATTACAGGCATTACCTAGGAGGTATTTGTTCTGTGATTTCTAAATTTATTTAAAACAAACTACAGAAATTCAGTAGTTTAATAAATTCTATCATCTCATTGTTCATTAACACCCCTTCCCTGCCCTACCAGTACTAGGGATTGAACTCAGGGCCTCGTGTATGCTAGGCAAGATTATCTACCAGTGAGCTATATTCACAGCCTATAATTAGGCTGAATTGCAGAGTCCTTGTGCAATGTCACTTGGTCACATTTCATTTACTACAAAAAATTATAAATATAAAATTATAAATATTAATGTATTCTGTATTAACACTCAGAAATTTTTAAGCTTATAAACATTAAATATTTTATGATCCTGAGGATATGTATATTTGTATGCACATATGCATATAAGATTTAGAATGGGCGAAGGGGTTGACTATAGAATTCCATGTATTTTAAAAATAACAATAGGTCATGAGGCCAAAATTATTACCTTAAAATGTCCTTTTTCAGGAAAAGAATGTTTAAGTTAAAGGATAAATTATATAAAAACCATTTGAATAAAAACTAAAACTAGTCTAAAAGTATTTGAGTAGAACCAATAGCTTTTCCTTTTTTGCTTCACAGGAAGACCAGATCCCTGCACTAGTGACAAAACAAAACAAAAACCCTTCACCTGTTTAATGCACTTTTTTATTTCTGTGATGCTTTAAGTATTTATTTGTAGTGGCACTTTTAAAATGTTGACTTCATTACCGTCCTTGTTTCTAAAAAAGTCATCTTGCCAGGACACGATTTTTTTTTTTTAAAGGTAGCTTCAATGGTATAGTTCTTACAGCAATCACAGCAGCAGACATTTGAAAATATAAATTTAGGTCAGGTGGTGGTAGAACATACCTTTAATCCCAGCAGGAAGGCAGAGGCAGGTGGAACTCTGAGAGTTTGAGCCCAGCCTGATCTAAGTAGCAAGTTCTAGGACAGCAAGGGCTACACAGAGAAACCCTGATTTAGGAAAGAAAGAGGAGGGGGAAGGTGGAGGAGGGAGAGAGGGGAGAGGGAGGAGGGGAG